TGGGAAATGCTGATACAAACTTGTGTGACCATAACAGTGACACCAAAATGCAAGTGACCCCCAAAATGAACATGTTTGCATCACTGATCTAATTGGGGTTATTTCTGATTGAATTGACAGCAAATGGATGATTTTGATGACTTTTTGAAATAGGTCATGTCTATGTTACTACAGATGTAATCTGATCCAAAATCAGGTTATCTGGAGTTAAAAAATCATCCAATATTACCCATTTCAACCTGCTTGGAAAGATTTAGAACTATATATTCAATAGTCATTTCCTCTGGAAAAATCTGCCCATTTTTAGGATTTCTTTCTTCATTGACAATCTGGCATCTTGGCCAAAGTGGAGACCCCAAAGTACAACATGTTCTGCATGCCCAAGAAAGTTTTGTGTTTGTGGGGCAGAAACAGAATTCCCACCTTGCTGCATGGCAATTGCTTTTGAAAATGAGGTGACCCCACCCCCCAAAAAAGAATCCCACAGGGTAAATCACAGCTATTAGATACCCCCAAAGTAACTCTTTGGCCCTTTGCCACAGTTCCCACCCACGAGTCACTTGGATGTAGAATAAAGCAGTCTGTTGGCAGCACAGTTGCCTTCCAAATTTGAGATAATCAAGCATCTAATTAGAAAGTCACAGTAATCAGCTTAAAGAGATTATGGCATCCATGATCAAGAATGGACATTATAAATTTCCCCTAAAGTTCCAAGTCATCTGCTATATGAGCCTCTTAAGTTTTGGGGAGTACTTGAAGGGCAAATTCACATCTCCTAACATCCAGCATTTTTATTGCTTTTTTGGTTGTGCCTAGTTTGTACATAGTACATGGTAATGATTCATCTTTTGATCCTTGGGAAGTGAAAAGAACTGGAAATCCCTTTGAACAGATCTGTTTATAAAATTGTTTCTGTGAAAATAGCCACACTAACATGTGTGAATATTAGGGGCTTAAGCAGACATTTCACTATTAATTCTTCACTCTTAAGCATTGTCTTTTGACTGATTTTAAAGAAGAAGGAAGATTGTTTTCTTGCAGGTTGAAAAGTTTTGTTTTAAATATGTACAATACATAATTGATTGGAATGGGTCTTCTATAGGACAAGTTGCTGTAAACTTAAGTTTTAACTACTGAAGTTATTATATGTTAATACTTAATATTGTGACTTTACACTGGACTTGTTCCCTTCTGTTATAGTTCAAACAGGGTAGAGATACCTCTTTGATAAAGCTTGCCTGCTTGGTAGCAACTCTTACCTGGCTTCTTCAGTTAAGCAAATGGATATTTACCAGCCAGGTCACCCGAGGCTCTCAGGAGCCCATGGGATCTTGTTAAGACAAGGAGACAGCAGGTGTCCTTTAAGAAGAAACAGTGACAGAAAGCCTTCAGTGCCTTTGTCCTAGCGCAGAGATTCTGTTAGCTTTGGACAACATACTATATTGGATATAGTAAAGACTTTGCAAGTGTTTAGAGAATATTACCAGTTTGCTTCTTTGAAATGCTGCTTTCTGAATATAAAAACACTCCCCATCAAGCTACCGTTGCTAAAGTTACAAATCTAAACAAGTTAACTAGAAAGAAGCTCCCATTCAACTCAGTGCCACTTCCTTCCTAATACCTATATCAGACTGCACTGCAAGGAAATCTTTCTCAGGACTGTGCATTCTGTTGCCCCCTTCTGACAGGATCTGGGATGCTCTGGTGACCAGAATCAGAACAATTACCACTCTGTTTACAGGATCCACCCCAAAGCCTGCTGGATCTCTTTCTACTGATGAGCACCAGCTGGGAGTCCTGGGAGAAGAGCTATGTAAGAACAAGCTCTTCCCTCCAGAACTGGCCTTAGCACCATAGGTCTTCCTGTTTGTTGTAGTGCCTGCTCCTAATTCCTGCTGTGTCTCCTGTCTTGCTGTGTTGCCTCAGCATTACAGGTTCTCCTGTTTGCCATTTTGCCTGCATCCTACCTGATCTTTCCTGCTCCTGCTTCTTGTTCTTGCTGTGTTTCCTGCATCTTGTCATGTCTCCTGGCTTGCCATGCAGACACAGCAACACGGGCCCTCCTTTCTGCTGCTTTGTCTGCACCTTGCCTAACCATTCCTGCTCCTGGTTCCCGCCTTTTCCATGTTGCCTTGCTGTTGTGCCTGCCTATACCCTGCCTTGCCATGTTGTCTCAGTAACACAGGGGTTCCTGTTGTTCAGCTCGTATCTTGCCTGACTCTTGCTGCATCAGGTTCCTGTCATCGCATGTATCCTGCCTTGCTGTTTATCCTTCTGTGCCATGTCTCCTGCCCTGTTGTTCTCTTCAAGGTACCTGCGCCTCTGTCTGCCCTCCCGCTTCTTGACCCTTGGCTTGTTCTGACCATGTATTCTTCTGATTCCTGACTCAGCCTGTACCATGACTGTAATTTAGACTGTCTATTAAACCCTGCTTTTGGAGTCTTGTCTTCCCTGAAGTTCTGTTGCCCTAGTCCTTGTGCCTCTGCTGCTCTTGCCTTGCCTTGTCTGTGGCTGCAAAACCCTGACAACTTCTCTCAAAATACAACTTTTCTCTAGAGAAGGGATCACAATAAAAGAGCAACCTTTTGAAGAAAGAATCTCAAGAATGTTTCTTCTAAAAGAAACAATATGTTTTGTCCTAACACAACTTCACTGAAAACTCTGGAATTCTTACATTTTCTGTACAACCTTGGAACATATTTCTTGCTTTCTCTTTGTTCTCAGTTTCCAGTGTAGCTTTGCTTACACCCCAGCCCTGTTTTGCTTTTTCCTACAATATGTTTAGAAATTAGAAAATTTCAAGATGATTTGTAAATTAAAATTTTCCTCATGGAGCACACACTTGGAAATAGCGAGAAATATTTTTGTAGAAAATGTGTTATCTGTTGCTCTCAGAAGTACATGTATGAGAATGGATTTCTTACTGCTTTCTGCACAGAAATTCAGTGCAGGAAACATGTTTTTAAAGAAATGCTCAAGGGCTATTTATAAGAACAGTTTATGAATACTAATTATTATTTCATAACACACAATTCTGTTAAACAGATTAACCATATAGTTACTTTGAACTCTTGTGTATGCATTTTTGTTAGTGACACCTGTATTTCATTCACCTGCATTTTTTAAGTGCAGTCAATAGTGGAATAACTTACACTGCATTTTGGATTCTGTTCCATATTCTCTTCCAAGTACAATAGATTAAAATACCAAGAGGACGATGGTGTTGTTGCTATTCATAGTAATGTTTTATGAATGCGTGCAATAAAAATAAACACTTAGTCTAACTTATTTTTAGAATACTGATGTTAAAAAAGTTTTACAGAAATGTTCAAGTGTTTTGGCACTGCTTTTGAATGGTTTAGAGCTGCAGTCATGGTCCCTACATGTTTCTACAGGAATCGGTGGGAGTCCTAGCTCCAGCCTTGGAAAAGCACTCCAGGGTCTGAGCTGGGAGTCTGACTTTAGAGTATCCCTGCAGCTAGCATGGTTCCTTCTGTGCAGATTGTGGCTCTAAAGTTGGAAAACCAACCTCAGATATGGCATGGTGGGGAAGGGTGTCATCCCAAGAACTGAAGCAAGGAGACACAAGGCACAGCTGTCCTGCAAGGAATCCTTTGCCAGCGGTCAACCATCAGCATGTTTTGGGGGGCTAAAGAAAACTTGGAGGCAGTCTTCATTTTTGTGCTCCTTCCACACTCCACTGGATGTCCATAATCCTCAGAGATTGGATTAGATTATGCTATAGTTTATGTGTTTCCAAACTTTCACAATGTATCTTGATGAGGTGATAGAAGCATATTAAGTATGTTGTGGCTTTCAAAATGCACATTATTTCCCCTTTTTTCTCTTCTTCCCTCCTTTTTTTTTTTCTTAAATACAGGTACCTTTAAACTAGTAATAGAATTTTCAGAAGAATATCCAAATAAGCCCCCAACTGTTAGGTTTTTATCAAAAATGTTTCATCCCAATGGTAAGTATTCATGATGATGCAGATAGAAATCAGTTGCAATGATGTGTCCTTCTATATTCAGCAATATTTTAATATCTTAATTTGCCAGACTATTCTCATTAGCCCCAGAACTATTCATAGTTGCAAGCAATATTTCATTAAATGTATATACAAAATGTCATTGATTGAATCTAAATATTACACATTCATGTTAAAATAGCAATTGCAAAAACAGGAAGAAACTAAGATCGCACACAACTTCCTTAGAAATCAGTTTTTTAAAAAAATAGGGCAGTTGCTTTGGAGGGCCTTCTTGTGCGGAGGAGACATACAGGATCCTTCGCACAACTAGGTGTCTGCTCCTTCAGATCCAACCCCTTGCCTTTCTCTGAATCCAGTGCCTTAAGTGATGCTCTGTTTTTGCTGGAGCAGTAATCTTTCTTGTGTGTTTTAGCCATTTTGCAGAGTGTCCTTTCTGGAGATCAGTGGCTGAGTTCTTTCTGCACAATACATTGTTGAATGCCTTTAGGGCAATGAGTGTTAATTTAGAAGTGATATTGGCTTTCTCTGAGCAGTAAGTAATTCAGTCATTTGCCAAGGTATCAGGACCCAGTGTGCAACAGGACTTGTTCCCTTTCCCTCTGTAGTTAAGTTGCTTTACAAACACTTTGCAATGCAGCTCAAGAGTGATGGGGAAGAAAGGATTGCTTTTATTACTGTTTTGTTCACTCCCCTGGAATTGCACATAAGGAGAGGTAGTATAGAAATGCATTAAGTAAACTAATGATTAGTATTATTTCTGAGGTGCTTTAGATAACTATACATGGTACAGAGTTCTAAAAAGTCAGTCAGCATAAAAGCTAATAGTCAAAAGGAGGACTACTTTTCCAGTGGGAGAGAAATTCGCAATAAGCATAGAAAGGACCATGGTGGTCTGTGGCCCAGATACTTTCCTTTGGTGAACATCAAGGGGAAATTCATAATGATCAGAGCAGTCAGACAATGAAAGCTAGGAAGGTAGTGGGCTTTCTGTTGAGAGGCATTCAGGTAGAAATTGGACATCCATCTATCAAAAGGTTTAAAATGGAAGCTTGCACTGAACAGGGGGTTGAATTCACTGTTCCAAATGGCCCTTCCAGCTATGTGGCTTTATGGCATAGATGTAAAGATAGTCCTCCCCCCCCAATTCGCCTACTCACCTCCTCTTCTGTTCCTATAGAACAAAGGGAAAGAAGAGTAAGCCCTTTCATATTACTTAATTTTCCTTCAGTTCTTTGTCAGAAGCATAAAACATTTAGATAGTATAAAAAGTTTAGATGGCATCTGCATATGATGTTTCTTGTCGTCTTTTTCATGGAACCTAGACAGGTGCATTATCTGGTCCTCCAAACTTTGACCCACATGACATAACTGGTAGTGAGCCCTACTGTTGTAAAGGCTTTCCTTTGTGAGAGGCTTTTCTCAGAAACCTATGCATTACATGAATCAGTCAGAAATAATCTCATTGTTTGACTTGGGTAAACATGAAACACTGGTAATTCTGAAACTTTCTTTTATTTTAGTATATGCAGATGGTAGCATATGTTTAGATATCCTTCAGAATCGCTGGAGTCCAACATACGACGTTTCATCTATTTTAACCTCAATTCAGGTAAATTTAGTTAAAACAAACACTATTACAAGTCTAGTCTTCTCCAAAATGATAAGAAACTGCTGGCTTGATTCTTCTGCAAAATATTAGTGAATTTGAATTCTTCCTAGTCATTATTTGCAGTGTAATCTTTGGCAGAAGTGCTTGTCAAAAGGATTAAGACAGATGCAATGTTGTATGTGCAGTTGCAAGATCAAGCCCACATCAACCTTTAACGTTCAAACATTGTATTGTTCTATTTTCAGTTATGTTTTCTTTCTTTTTCCTTGTAATGCTAATGAATGTTTTTTATGTCTTGCCTTTTGGGGCTGCTTCCCTCTCTAGTCGCTGCTTGATGAACCCAATCCAAATAGTCCTGCCAACAGTCAGGCTGCACAGCTTTATCAGGAAAACAAACGTGAATATGAAAAAAGAGTTTCTACTATTGTTGAACAAAGTTGGAATGATTCATAAGAAATTACAACTTCACTAACAGACATCCTCATAATCATCATGTACAATTTAACTTACCATAGGAAATGCTACCAGAGCTTCTCAAGTGCCACGTTTGACTTGCATACAGATGTGTTTGCAAAAATAAGCCCTTCGGTTTTGAAACTCTAAAAGCTTGTGTACCTTGATTAATGTACTTTTTATTGCATGTTATGACCTAAGTTATTGCTACATAAATTTGTAATATATCCTGTTTGTATTTTTTTCAAAGTGTATAATGTTGGTGTGAAGTTTTCATGACAGAATATACATATTTTGTAAATCTGTACTTTTTTCAAAATACTGAATGCCTTATTTTTGAATTCTTTAGATTTTTAAATTGCACAAAAATCACTTAACAGAGTTTTATATATAAAATATTTCATGTAAAGCTGAAATACATAACCTCAGTACAAGACATTTTTCTGTCACGTCTTTCAGTTTTCTTTCCATGGGCTCACAGAACTCTTGCATGCAGATTTAAATTTGCATCTCCAGGAACCAAGATGCTCTTTCATGCATGCAGTGTAGAATTCTGCATAGGTAAGATAATTTTTCTTAAGAGTATAAGAATAGCCCAACACTTCTTGACACTTTTGTCCAGCCCAGACGTATGCATACCTCCAAGGTTTTTTTAACTTGTCTATTTACATTTGTTGTGTGTTTGTCTTTAAGGAGCTTGGCACAGTAGCAATTTCTGTGAGGTAAGATAAGATAAAAGAGAGCCTTCTGTTACCCATGATTTCATGCCTGAGTGGCAGTTGAAACCCATATCCAAACCTAACACTCCAGCTGTTGTGCTGGAGGCACTCAAGTTCATATCAGAGCCAGTGAATAAGGTGCAGGCTGTCTCACTATTGCATAATCCTACCAATGGCTTAGCTATGCATATCTCCCATGGTGCATCTGTGTTCTGTTGTGATTCTTACATGTGTTCTCAGTAATTCTGTTAACTTGCTCTTTAAAAGCTTTCAGATTTTTGACTTTAATAGGAAGGAATTAAGATTTTTAACAGTTGGAATTTAAGGTTCATACAAAGTAAAACACAGGTTTAATTTTATACCTGTATTAAAAGAAACAACACAGCTCTTTTTTCAAGAGCACTTCCTCTGACTTACTGACAGTGGCTATTTCACATTTTCATTAACTCACATTACTCATGAAGAGATTGGCCGTGCTCACATGTAACAGTAACCCACCGGCTGTCAAATTCTGGATTGTTGCTGTACGAATGTAGTCTCACTAACAACCCAGAAAGAGAACCCATGCTTTTTGTTGGATTGTGAAGGTCTGAGCTATTTAAATCATGGATTATCCTTGTGTTTGAAACCAGAACTGTGGGTTGTTTAGCCAGACTACAGAAGTGATGGGCAAGAGCAGTAAAATATGCGGCTGCAGTGCAGGCCAGTACCAACAGCATTACAATGGCATCCGGCACACAAGGGTGCAGGCAGAGAAACAACCTAAGGATTGAGAAAACAAACCATGGCTTGTTTGCTAGACAAAACCTTGACAGGACAACAAAGGATAGGTTAGTGTCATGGTTGAACCAGGTCACTACGGAAGGTTATTTTGGGCCATATGCATGACCATGAATGCAGGATAAATCTTTCAAGGATATTTTTCCCCTTAGGTTGCTAGTTTGGTTAGAAGTTATTTTTATAAGAATATTTAAATATTTTAAAACTTGATAAGTCAAAAGCATATTTGCCAGGACATTTTATTTTACATGATCCAAAAGTCTTGTAGCATATAGAAAAGTTTGCTATTTTCCATTTGAAACTGTCACCATCCAAAATTACTTTTGTTCCAAGTATGCATAACTGCACAGTTCTGAAACATTTAACAAATTTAATGCTTGTTAAATGATTAACAAAATGAAACATACTTACCAAATATGACATACCAAATAGTTTTATAAGAGAAAACTCACCACATACTAAGTAAAATCCAAAATTATAAAAATGCCTGGCTTATTACCTTTTGCCTGTAAATTGATATATACTTGAGTATCTGTATTCTTTGCTGGAAGATCCCCAGCTGGAAGCACAGTGCTTCTGAATGTACCCAAAGTGCCAGGTACAGGAGTTGTCTTTTGTGTTAGATCATTGCAGCTATGTGCACAAACAGCTAACTCAATTTCCTTGACTGATGCACATATGGGATCTTTGTTATGGTTAAGGTCATATTACATCTATATAAATAGTACTCATGAACTGATATCGGAATACATGTTACTATAACAACCTCATTAACCAGCATATTAGGTCACTTAAGGCCTACTTATCCTAAATGAAAGAGAAACAGCTGCTGAATGTTTGCTAGTCAGATTGAAAGGATGTTAACTGTAAAAGGGTTGGGAAATGTGTTCACATTTTCAGGTGAGCATCACTTTCATATAGTGCAATGGGAATACAAAAGATGGCTTGTATTAAAACACCCACCATGGGGCTTTTTCAGAGATTAAAGCGATCAATTAAGAGATGCAAAAACACATGGAAAGTTTACCACCAGCAAAAAATTCTTCAAATTTAACTTGTAGAATTTAGGTGAATGTTTGGGGTATCAATACATTTTTCAAATAATTACATTTTGTTGGGTTATGAAAATAGTGAAGCATGGGGCTCTAGGTATGGATCTTTGATTTTTAAAGATTGAACAAAAGAATATACTAGTAATACCAGTTTTCCTTACCCCATCTCCTTCAGTAAAAGTACCCTCAAAATCCTGAATGGAGGGTTGAAAAGCAGGCAAAGTGTAGCTAAACTGTGTTAACAAGCCAGGATGGAACAGGTGATAAAAACTCCCAGAAGTTATTTGGATGCTAGAATAATTTTTCCCTGCCAACCCTGGGCCAAAGCTGTGGCTGCTTTGAGCAGATGCTGTAGGACTGGAATAGGGAAAGTGTGGCACGCCAGATGATGCTAGGCTGCAACTTCCATCATCCAACACCATTGGGTTTTCTGGAGCTGATAGGAGTTGCAGTCCACTGTCAGATGGGCTGCATGTTACTCTGAGTGTAGAGCATCTCTGATGGAGATGCATTGTCAGAGAAAACAACATGGAGCTGGACAGACATAGACTGGCCCTGGTAGTACCAGCAGAAGAGAGCAGTCCCATTGCCTCAACTGGAAGGTAGCCTCTCGTGGGCTAGAGGCTCAAGTACATGGAACAGTAGCCACATGAAGGCCTTTTCAGAAAAAGGATGCTTCAAAACATGGGGCACTCAGCCATTTCCCTGCTTGCTTTTTGCACAGCAAGTAATTCCCTTCTCAAAATATGGATTTTGAATTCTCTCTCTCATCCCTCCCTCCCCCCCCCACCCCATGTGTGTGTGAGAGAGTGAGCAGAGGGAGGGACCCTCTTCAAAGGTGGTCAGTTAAAGACAATAGTGATTAGAAAGGCGTTCTGCATCTTCACCAGCACCTGTTACCTGCCATCCTCTCAGGAAGCAGTATTCAAATAGGCTACAGTTACACTACTACACCTGCATCTCTTGCAAATACACAGTAACCAGAAAGTGCATTGTTTTGCTCAAACGTTTTCTATTTGGCAAGAATGTTTTCTTTCACTACAGCACTAAAGGCTTACTTGTTAAAACAGAATATTTGTAAAAAAACACACAAAAAACATATTTATGAGTGGACTGTTTTATAGTCAAACACATCTGGAAGACACCAGTTGGGGGAAGGCTGCTTTATGGGGATCCCACTCTGCACTTGAGCTGTATCTCACATAGTGAAGGAGCGTGCCTCTCTGCTTCCTCCTAGCCGAGGCAAGCCCTCCAGCCCTGAAAATACTAGACTCAAGAGCTGTGGTGCATTGAAGAAATGGGTGATCCAAAACCCACTGTAAGGCTGCACTCAAGGAAGGTTGTCTCTCCTGTGGGAGGTACACACTGGGTACTATCCAAGATGTTGAGAAAATGAAAAGACTGACATATATGCCCATCCCCCCACAAAATAAAAGGTTCAGAAAGGGTTTAATTTTTAATCAGTTTAATAATTCAGATGGCATAAAAAACTGCTAGCAACTCATCATAAACCCATTTGACTTTTTTTTAAAAAACATTTGATTCCAAAGAACACTGAATATTTTTGAAGTTGCGCAAGTTTCACTGTGTGTTGCAATTTTATGTTCTTAGGGAAGATAGGATATGTATGATGTGTCATCTGGACCAGGTTTATTACCATCTCAAATTGTTTTGATAAAGAAAAAAGGGGAAAGCTTCATAGCTATTGCTTTGTGCAAGTCCTTATTCAGTTTTACAGAATGAAGCACCCAAATCAGATACTGCTGAACAGTTTTAAGATTTACAGTCTGCTTCCATCTAGGTTCATAGCAAGTTACATAATAAAAACAAATTTATAACAGACATTTTTAAAAAGTAACAGTTGAAACAAAATAGACACATTGAAAAGCTTGCATCTATCACTCTGGATCCAACCTATTATTATGTAAAAACACAATTAGTAAAATTTGGTAAAATTAAAAGCCATCAATATCTTTACAGCCTTCCTTTTCAACAAACATTTTACAGCATCCCTTAAAGGTCTGCAAACTTGGGATTCTAGTTGACTTCAGATGGCAAAAGTGTAATATCCAAGCAAACTACAGAAATGGTCTGGCTGAGTCTCCCATTATACTCTGTGCATTAAGGGACTTGTGATTACTTTTGTTCTGCTTTCTTGTCTCTAAGGACATAAGGTACAGCCCCCCATTCTTGCACTTACAGGGCAGTTCAACTCCCCACCCTCAACTTTCTAATTTCTTATAATTTGATACCAAGAGTACGCTTTTACAAAAAAATTCAGATTTGAATTTCTCTTTCCTACCTCCTTTTCTTAGTTTTGTGAAAGCTTAAAGGGTGCAGAATACACTTTATATTGTGCATTTGTAAATAACATTAAGATGTAGAAATTAACCTTTATCTGCTTCCTGAAAAAAGTATGCTTAGGGTCCTGCTTTGAGAGATGCAAATGATTAACCAGGAAAAGCAGACCCTCCTGTAATATCCTTTTTTTAAAAAACCCTTGTATGCATTGTTTTCCTTTATGCAAAACCACCCATGCATTCTATCCAGACATATTTACCATCCATCACCATAATCTGTCATAGCTTGTTATAACACCAGGTTTCCAGGAGACTGAAAGGCTGCACCTGCCAATATTCCCTTCTCTCCCAATTATTAGAGGTATATAAAAAACCTTTAAATTGAAGCATTGGCTGTGCTTTAAATATGAGATGTGTGCAAGAGACAAGACACAGTAATTGCATTTTTTAAAAAGAATTTATTCATTAGTTAAAGCCATTTTCATTATTACATTTATTTTCATTATTCCCATTCATTTTCATTTTCCTTCACTTTCAATTGCAGACTCAGCTGCTCTTCTGTTGCCTCTAACTTCTGTTTTCATGCGAATTGGCATGAAAGTTTGAAGCATACTACTACCCCTTTGAGAATTTCAAGCAGCTAGTGCAGAAAAGACTGTCCTATTTTATTTAACAATGGCACAGGCACAGTCTAACTACTGTCTAAACCATAGAAAGGACTAAAAACTGTAAGAAGGGCAGGGGGTGCCCAGGTCAGAAGACTTTTACAGAGCATAGAGGTAATCATACCAATCCAAAAAAGAAATGAAGCAACCAGGCAGCAGAAGCTGAGGCATTGTCTGATTCCACCAGTGAGAAAGGAGGCAAACAGGACAGTCTTTAGCAAAAGAGGAAAGCTTTGCTTAGACAGCTGAACCCTTGAGCTCAGCAGCCTGCATAATATTCACTTTAACTCAAAGGGTAACATACAGTATTCAAAATATGTTTGAAGACTATTACTTGTTCAACTCAGGAGACAAATGGTGTCAGGATGAACAATACCAATGCCCTGGTTCTACTCAATAACTCGGCATGTTGGTTGGTGGATAGGATCTTGGGCACAATGGCTATGACTAGCCTGACCTGCACCTTGTAACCCAGAGTTTGATGTTTGATGGCCTTATGTTTGATGGGTCCACCAGACATTCAGTCACCATCCTCTCCACTTCCTCCCTAACTCACTCACTCTCACCTCAGTGGCTTCTGCCAAAGTAGCCTGCCCTCCACAGTTCAGCCCACAATGTCATCTGACAGGGATGCTGCCATGAGAGGGGCTGGGACTGCATCTCCACTGCATGTAGCTGCACATCTATCCAGCCTCTTGCATAGGGCCACCACCCAGAGCAGAATCTTAGCCCTATCTGCAATGTGGAAGATGCGTTTGATGGCTCCCAACGCTGTTGAGGTGCCCCATTATCTTCCCAATTGCCTCATTAAGCTTAGTAAAGATACTGATACCCATATCTGCCCCAATGGTCCCACAGTAATCCTCACTAACAAATGAAGAATGCAGGCAACAGACAGACACCCACAAAGCCAGCATCCTTTACCCCATCCATCTTACTGCCAGCACCTGCTACCAGGAAGACCCTGGTGACAGTCATTGCCTCACCTGGCCACCCCTACATCCTCATACTTCTGTCAACTACCTCCTCTAGTGCACTCTCTCTCTCCTGATACTGAACAGAGAGCAGACATACACATTGGCTATTTCGGATGCCAGTGGTGAAATACCTTTCTGCTCTGACTGGTTGAGCCTTATTCCTAGCTCTCTGGAACGAGGATCAGACCCCATCCCAATTTCTGGAAGGGGTTTTTTTGTGCTTCATGATCAAAGGGGAAAAATAACAGTCTTCAGTATCTTCTTCAATCCAAATTGAGACATATATATTTAAAACCTTCTAAAATAAACATCTACTGTAAACACATGTGTGATGGTTCTTGCGGTATCCAGATTACAGACTTCCATGAAAGCAGACTGTATGGCAAAAGGAAATTCTGGAATCTTATCTCACAGGCACTAGTGTTGATTCTAAAAAAAAGTTTATAGTAGAAGTCAGATCAATCTATTACAGTCACATATAACTGAAATATGGAAATAATTCTAGTCAGTGCTTACTTTATTCATGCATTATGTAAGAAGCCCCAGCTTTTAGAACTCCTGCTACAGGAAGTGATCATTGTAAAAGCTGGTTGCTCATAATGCATGTCCTGGCAGCTAAATAAACCCCTAATCCCAGCTTATTCATCCATAAACTATTCTAAAAGGTACCATTTGGAAAAAAAATAAGTGCAGACAAAATTATTTCAGTTGCATTCAGAAGATAAGCTAGTACTGTATTTCAGCTGCCACAGTGTCTTGTCAGGCCAGTTGTGGCTACGTGGGTGTAGCAAAAGCTAAATTCAGCCAGTGGGATCATGTGCATATAACCATCTTATATAAAATAAATAACAAACTGCAGCAAGGCTTAAATATCTGGAAGAGTAGCTACTAACCTCTACCTGCAACCACTATATCTGAAAATCATTATGTGTGGATGAGCCCTTAACACATAGCATTGTCATAAATAAATGCTATTAATACGAAGTCTTTAGAGGGGATAGTTTATCAGTAATAGCCTTCATATCTCACAGCTTTTCTGACACTTTTAAATATAGATTAAATTGACTTTCATCTTTTCTACTACATACATTGCATAATACCATATAATGTCCTCAGGGACAATTTTCCAGAATGATTCAGGATGGAGCAGTGTGTCACAATCAGAAAAGAATAGAAGTGTTGTTAAATAGCAATATTTGACCCAACACCCTCCGCCCCCAAAAATTCCCATGTTCTGTGAATAGTCAAAAATGGAGCTACTGCAAGGAAACTTGAGAAAAGTGAGAGCTATGATATGGGCAAAATGAGTCAGAAACATGGAGCCAAGAAGCAGGAGAAATTGATAGGGTTTGGAAGCTTCATTCACTTGCTTTGAGATTTCTCAGTTTCTCCCAAAAGCGACATGCATGTATTTAACTTTCCACTGCAACAATGAATGGCAGACTGTTTCATGGATCATGCCATCAGATTACTTAAGTAAACAGCCTTTAAGGAAATAAAAGACAAGGTTGTAACCAGTGGTGGCTTTACACTACCAAAAAGCACACAGGACAGGAAATCCAAATATTGTTGATCGCTTGACCTGCTGATGTTCCCTATACCCAGAAGGCCCCCATTCCAAAAAAGAAGCATTTTAAGGGACACTAGTCACTGCAGGGAGCAGAAATGAATGAAAATTGGATACCCTAAGTTGCATGAGTGTAGGTGCTTTCAAGTAGTATAGTCTCCATTGGCTATAAGCCAAATACTTCAACATTTGTTTTTAGATACCACCATTCAATATAACATACTTGCAAGATAACACTAAGGTACAATAAAATACTATAACACTGAAAAAGATACAGTCAGAGAGGAGAGAGAGGAAAAAAGGCAGGCAAAGATCTCGGGTCTGCTCTAGTCCAACACCTCCTTTCAATACCCCAGGACCATCTGCTACTCCAAGGGAAGGAAAGTTTCCAGGAAAAAGGAAAGGAAGATGACCCTGGACACTTGCTCCTGTTCCAGATGGACTTTCCCTACCCCAACATCACCTTCCTCTTGCTCTGAAAAGTGATTATCACTTTTAATGTTAATATAATCCCTTATATTATTATTAAAAATAACAATAATACTTGTTAACCTCCTTGGTAAGAACTGGATCCTGAAAGTACTCTATAGCACTCTTTCTTTCTGTTAAACTAATTCCATGCTTTATAGTTCCTACTAGTAGAATCACATATGTACATGTAACCTATTTTAATGTTTTCAAAAATAACTTCCTTCAGCATTCCATTCCCTTCATGAATATTCACCTTATTCATTAACTCATCACGGGTTATAAAATGAGGTACATCTTCAACTTCAATCCCCTCAGCCATTTCTGTTACCTTGTCCAGGAGTTCTTTGTTATAGCTGTATAATAAAAAACATGGATAAGAGAGTATACCATCTTCTGCTACCTTAATAACATTAGTCTACTTAAGGTATAGAAACATAGAGCAAGTCAGAAGGGGCCTCCCAAGCCATCTAGTCTGAGCTCCAGCTCCAGTCAACTACACTCATGACATACCTATAATCCTATACACTCTTACCTGGAAGTAAATCCCACTGTAAATTCAGCCTTCCTGTATTTCTTTCTGACTGCACTGTGTATAATTCTTCCCCACCACTGCTACTGTGTGCTACTGTATAAACCAGAAATTCTTCACTGATGGAGTGGGGCATGGTCCACAAAAACGTACCCCACAATAAACCGAATAGCATTTAAGGTGCCACACGTATTTTTACTGCTTTTAATCACTTGCTTCACTTAAAGAACTTCAAAGAGGTAACACCGTGACAGGAAATATAAAAAGGAAGAAGACAGTGGCATCCTTTAAGAGGCTACAATCCTCTTCCTTACAGAGGAAGAAACTGGGGCGTTTGTGGTACCGTCACATCTTATTTCTGGGTGAGATTATTTCCTATTCACGGATGTGCGACAGGCAGGAATAGAGTAGGTGGAGCTTCCGCCAAGCTTGAAGGACAGAAGCTTCAGCAGGGAAGCTTCACCTAGCGAATGGCGGGGGGGGGGGCGGTGTCGTACAAGCGCTTAAAGAGCTGGAAGATTAGCAATGCAGGCGAGCTGGGAAAGCGCCGAGAGGCGAGCACGCGGGCGGTTACGGAGCTGGAGGGGCGGTACCTGCAGCCCAGGAAGAGGTGATTGGCCCAAACCATAGAGAGCGAGAGCAGCTGGTCCAGGCTCTGCGGAGAGAGCGCCTCCGCATCGCCTGGCCTGGCGTTGCGCACGATGAAGGCCCGCCGCGCCTGCCAGTGCTTTTCATTCTCCGAGTAGGAGCGGAACTCTTCGGGAAATTCAGCCTCGGTCGCGTTGTCTCCTTTCACCATCTTTCCCGCTCGCTCTTCTGCTCAGGCCTCCGGAAAAGTGGGTAGGGAGGAAGAGAAACAGCGGGGACCCGGAAATGGCGTTTATAATGGCGCAACAGTTGAGGGAGGGGAGACGGCAAGGGAACAACATTGCCGTTCTGCCTTGCCCCTCTACTGCTCTGGCGATCACAGCGCGGGCCTGGTGACTAAATTCCATGGGGGAGGGCTTTCCTAGTGAGTGCGCATGCGTAGGGGACCATGTTCGCGCATCATCTTGTCGGTCCACCTTGCCTGAAATTAGGGAATGGCGACTCGAGTGCAGAATCCCGAGGATTAGACGGTCGGGATTCCCATTGGAATCCCATGAGAACGTTCCCTCTCTCCCTCTGCTGGCTTCTCTGTACCGCGATGGAGCCACCCTCGCCGTCTTCGGCCGGTGCGCCGCTCCCCGCCCTCCCTGCGCGTGTGGCGCTCGCACAGCCACACCTGACGTCATCCTAGCATGATTCACACGGCCCGGCAGCCCGCTTTCCGCTCCCGCTGCTTCCGTTGAGAAACATGGCATTGCCCGCTGAGTGAGGAACGAGGTGGGTAGCTCTGGCATCACACAGCAAATGGCCCCAATGGTTATCTGAGGTTCGCAAGCTCTGCCAGCTCCTTGTTGCTGCTTCAGCAGCGATTGGCAGGTTAACTGTGCCCCTTCCTGCTATTTGACTCACAGTAAGGAGGGCTTCGTATCTGAGCTTAGAAACCTGTGCCTTCCTGAGTTGTCAAATCCTAAGCAAGACTTACCTGGGAGTACATTCCATAGAATTCAGTGGGACTTACATCTGAATAGATGGCTGTGCCTAGTTAACAAGTTGTATTCTAGCCACTACAAACTATAGGGGCTTGTGTTCATGCACCTAACTCTTCCTGCTGAGAGCTATCCACTAAGACATGCTGTGCCCAGAAAGAATTGGACAGGAACAGTCTAATCCTTGAAAGTGAACTGACTAAAGGAACTGCCATTTTTAAAATCTTAGATCTCACAAGGTAGTCAAAAGCCTTCTAGGGAAATAAAGACAAAACAATTCCCCAGGTACATGAGTTCTGTTTCAATGCGTTTCAGTAGTTGTAGATTGATCCAGGGTCAATTCTAAAGTGAAGTGCAAGATGTATTATTTCTTTGTTTAATTTCTGTGCTGCCCAATAGCTGAAACTCTCTTTGCTAAAAGCTGTGCTACTAAAGTCCCAGTTCAATCAGTGGAACGAAATCCTACAGAGTAAACCTATAATATCTACTCTGAATTAAGCCCTATTGCATTCAATGGGGCATACTTTCAGGTAGGTAAATATTGGAGTGTACCCCTAATGACTCGAGGATTAGACTTTAGAGACACAGGACAAAAGGTACATCATGTTTCAGTGTTATGTGTTCATTCAAAAGTGAGTGTGGCAGTCATGTATCAACCTGCCCACTGCTCTTTTTAAGATAAGGTCTAAAACACCATAATCAAAGTTTGACCATAAAAGTGCAATCTGCATGTCTACTCTGAAGGAAGCCCTGCCATATTAAATAGTGCTACCTCACCGGTCAGTCTGTAGGATTGCAGACTTACTTTTACTTTATCTTCATTGCCATTTACAAAACTTAATTTACACACAGACACACACAGCCTACTGTAACAACATGCATCCCAAAACTAAACTAATTTCTAAATCCAAGCAGGTTTCTCATCTTCTAGAAACCCTATCTTGTTCAGGTAAAAATAACTCCTCGTTGATTTCTACCATCATTCCACCATCCTGTAAATCCCTAAGGCCTAATTTAACAGAAATATCTGAGAACAGAAGAAGACACTTGGGGCCACTACAAGCCTGTGCCATGTTCTACACTGTAATTATCTCAGCAAAGCCAATAGATTTTCTTATAGCACATACCAGCTCGTACATCAAGGGACAAATCAAGGGGGAGCTGGAGCACTTTCTGGTTCTCAGCTGAACTCCCCAATGTACAGCAGCAACTGTTATGAGGAGGGGCTACCCCATTTACCAGCCCTTTTATGCTTAAAACATGCTACTCCGCAGTGCACTCTCTATCAGCCTGACACCAGACCCCCCATCCCCACTTAGCTTGATGCCACTTCACCTACAGAACTTTTAAATGCTGCCTACACCTTCTCTACACTGCCTTCCTTTGGGTTGGCCTTCTTCCCACCTTTGTCTCATTTCCTGTGAATGTAGCTTGCCCATTTCTGTCTTCTTGAGCTAAATACAGCTGTAATCCCATTCTCTTCCATGGGGTAAGTCTCAATATGTTAAATGGTGCTTACTTCTGAGTTAGGATTGCACTGTAGGGCTGAAATGCTGAGCACAATTACCAGGGCATAAGTCCTATTCAATTCCATAATATTTACTTTTGAATGAACAGGGTTCAAAACGGGCTGCATGTAGTTGAGCAGCTTGCATTGAATGTTGGTTTTCAAATCTGCAGGAGCTAGGCTCTTCCTTTCATAGCAGTTGGTCTGAATTGTTGCTTTCCTGTTGCTTTGGCTCAGTAAAAATACCCCTACACACACACACACACACACACACACACACACACACACACACACACACAGAGCATATAGATACAAGTTAGCAATGCCTGGAGTTTTATAATATTTGACCACTGCAGAAGGTTCAGCCACCTTCTTTCTAGTTCCAGTTCTAGTTTGCCACCCAAACACAATACCACAGGTCTTCTCCAAAGGACCATGTCTCCAAGAAAGAAACTGTGAAATGGATGTGGGTTATATTTTTCCTTGTCATAACATCTAAGCAGCTCAGGCAAAGGGATATGTGGATGTTTAGAATCTCAGTTTAAATGCAGCAGCTTCATGGAGCTTTCTTTAATGTTTTGCACCATCATCAGATGTCATACTTTTCCTCCTTCTCCCATGTGGGTCAGTTTTAACCGTCAGTGATACAGTAGCTGAGCAAGCAAGGGTATCACCTTTTTCAAAGAATGATGCTTAAAGTCAATCTGCCTGAGACAGAGTTACCTTCAGAAAAGCAGGTGCTTAGTCTTGCTCTCCTCTTCTTTTACTGCAGATTGGTATAAGGTTGACATTGTATCCTGGGACTGAGCCCCATTAAAATCAGTGAGGCTTATCTCTCAGTAAACTTGCATAAGAATGAAGTGCACATCATTTGTGAAGATATGGATGCTTTTCAGGTAGCATCCTAATGTGATAACTGTGTTTAGCAGTAGGCACTACCACTTCAGCTGGCTACATACATACCTTGCCATTCCTATGCCTCTTTACTACTCCCAGTCCTATATTTCTCCCAAAAGTCAAAATCACACATATGCACACATTCTTAGCTTTTAAGGCTCCATGCTCTCATTCTATCATCTTATCCTCATCTGTCTAATTCTGAGCCTCCAACATGGTTCGCACAGGCGCCAGTGTACCCACAGGCACCACTAGTGAAGCCCAGTGGGTGGCTCATCTTGACTTCTTAAATGTGTTTAATTTTAGGGAAGAAGTTAATTGAGAGGCCAGCCTGCTGTAAAGCAAAGTGTCATCCTCCATTATTCCAAAGATGCCTCTTTGCCTCATGCGGGTTCCCAAAGGCATGCTTTTAAAATAAAGAATGGTGAGTGGCTGCAGCCCAGTATTTCATTCTGAAACATTCCCAGCCACTCAGAAAAAGGGAAAAGGCAACCTGCAGGGTGGTAGGGAGTATCTTAGGGATATGGCGGGTGGGAGCTTGCCTGTGCTGCGTTTGGTTTTCCCTGTTTTGTCTGTATGTTGCTTGATACGTGTTTGTGAAGTGTGATAAGTGTACTTCTGTTTCTCTGGAGCCTTCTGTGAAATGAGTATTTTGTTCTTTGTGAGAGCAAGTATGTGATGTAGCATTTGGGGCACGGACCTACCTCTGCCTTCTGCTCAGTTTCATGGCCACTTTTTTTGAGACTCATTAGTTTGCCTTCTATGAAATAGATGTTGGAGCAAAAAAACCCTGTGGGTTCAGAGAAGTAATTTTGGAGCTCATTTCCCAGCTCTGCCTTGTATTTAACTTCTTGGGCAAATTACTTTTCTTAAGGCTGGGGCATGCTGAGATTCTTGCATACCTTGGCTCAGCTATCAAATAGAGACTGCAGCCAAGAAATTCAAGGACTGGAAGGGTAGCAATAAAAAAACAAGATAATCAAGTGTAAGGAAGACCAAGGCCAGGATCATCCACACTATGGTATAGGTGTGAAAGCTGGACAGTGAAGAAAGCTGGCAGGAAGAAAATTGATCCATTCAAAACAAAGTGCTGGAAAAGAACTTTGTAAATACCCTGAACTGACAGAAAGATGAACAAGTGGGACCTAGATCCAATCAATCTGGAGATTTCTATACCAGCAAAATTTGCAAAGCAGAGTCTGTCATACTTCAGACACAAGTGAAGCCAAGACTTACGGGAGAAGACATTGTCTTAGGGGAAATTGCAGGCAGAAGAAGAAAAGGAAGACCAAATATGAAAAGGATTGACTCCATAGAGGAAGCCTCAGCCTTGAGAAGGGCTGTCATGGGCCGGACATTTTGGAAGGCTTTCATTCATAGGGTTGCCATAAGTCAGAGATTACTTGATGGCACATAACAACAAACATGCATAGGATCACGTGCTTATGTTGTTCTTATGTGCCATCAAGTTGTCTCCAACCTTATGGATGAAAGCCCTCCAAGATGTCCTGTCCATAACAGCTCCATTCAGCTTTTCCAAGTTCAAGGATGTGGCTGCTTTTATGGTTTTAGGGTTATAGTGTTACCAATTTGTCTTCTGGGAATTGATTGTTTTGTAAGTAGCCATTCCCACCATGGTAGCTGTTTTGAGAGTGAGTGAGTGGCTGCTATTTTATGATAATATCCATGGCAATTCCCAATGTGCCCATCAATCCCAAAGGTTTTGGGACCCTGGCCTAGTTCATCAAGCCCAGGTCACAAAGCTTCACTTCTGAATATTTTGTTCAGCTCTCCATTTTCTGTTCTTGGTAGCTGGTATGGTTCGCTCTTTCCCATGAAGCATCAGTGCACTAAGGATATGCCTACTCCCTGTACCTTTCCCTGGGATGCTGCCCAGGTGTCCAGAAATACCCTGGACCACAGCATGACGACATGGATGTGAAGATTTTGCTGCAGTTTCCATTCCTTTCTTTTCAGCCAGTGCCAATAGCATTTGCCTGTCATATTGATAGCTGAGGCAAGAAAAGGAAATAGCAGAAGACACAGAAAGGGAGTACTTGGGGCTATAGTGGAATAAGGAGAAGATATTGAGTTATGCGTGAATAGTTTTTTTCTGATCCCTTTTTGTGCCTGGCACTCAGAAATTTATCAGAAGATTGGTATGTGTTTGTTTTTCTGCCTGAAACGGCTGGAAATTAAAAGGGGGGAAATTATTTCCCTTAATATTTGTAATAATAAGGCACACTGATAGACTAAAAGGTGGTACCCCTACATGTGTGGAAAGGGAGAGGGTGTATGCATGCAATGCATGGAATTTTTCTAGTGCAAATCTTTACTGCACTTAGCTTGACTAGGATAGAAGGGGTGGGGGTGAAGAAAATACATGTGGGGGGAAAGGATGTTCTGAATAATTCAAGTAGATGGGATTTGCAGCCAAGAGTTCGGATGTATCGAACAATCTGACAGATTGGGGAAGACTCCGTCTCCATTCGTTTCTGCTGAATAGAACACTGTAGGCATAAGAGAGGGAAGAGCTGGTTTTTCAGCCATAGTCAGTTGGCACTGCATCCTCTGCTCTGGCTGGCTGAAAGCACTGCATCATCCCTCTAGTTCCACCCCCCCCCCCGTTGTTGTTGTTTTTTTCTCTCCTTTCCTCAGGGTGCACCCTGGCCTCTTAAAAGTGGATCAGCCCTGAAAGGCTCTGTCAGTTTTGACATGTATTCAAGATAATATGTACGTTTTGGACTGTGAGTTTGCCTGCAATTCCTTTACTGACTTGAATGTCTCATATCACAGTTACCATGAGCACAGAACACACAAAAGGGAAAAAAACTTTTTTAGATAAGGGCTGTAATTAACATCATAACACTGTAGAAACAATCATATGCCCCAGAGATTCCCTGTCATTTTCTTCTTTGCTTCTTCCTCAATTGCATTTTTAAAGCAGTATATTTTGTTGGCTGTTAATAAAAATTAATATTCTGCTCCTTTGTCTCATTATTTCTATGTCTGTTACAATGACAGTTCTGAGCTAATAATGAAGCACTTGTAAAATAAGCAGCATAAGACCACTAAAGTGATGATTATCTATTTGTCCATATATTTTCCTTTTCTCTTAGGAATTTCTAGTAGTCTTACCATACAGCTAATAGATTAACACATTATGTAGGCCAGAGAAGTCAATCAAAGAATGGCATGACTTTTTCATTGCCACATTTGAAATTTGGAAAAATTGTAAAGAATGCAAGCAGTAGATTGCAAACTACATTAAGGATGTGATTCTTTGCGTCTTTGGACAGAAAAAAAGTCCTACAACTCCCAGCATTTCCCAGCAAACTAAGGCTACAGCCTATGCAGCGTGTCATGGGAATCAATCACCCTGAAAACCACAAGACTCATTTCTGAGTACTTTCTTATTTCTGTAAGGTGTTAGGCTGCAACTCCCTGCACCCTTATTTGACAATTAGCCCAAATGAATGCTGTTAGAACTCCTTAGGAGCAAACACAAGCTCAGGATCATGCTACATGGAAAGCTCTAAGGAAAAAATGAACAAAGCCAGTCTGGCCTCCTGGCATTTCCAGTGATTTAGGAAGCAGCCTGTTGGAACATCTTGCTTAGCATGGTCTTCTCTGCAATGGCGGCAGATCCCAGGATTTCCAACTAAAGGAAAGTCTCCATTATGGCTTGAGAGAAGCAAAGGATAGACCTCTGTCTGCGTCAACAGCCAGCAAGGCCAGAGCCACCTATGCAAGTCAACTCATCACCTTTTAGGCTTCTGCAATCTCCTCCTCAGTCCCTGACTTCCTGAACCTAGGTGTTGCTTGCAAAATCACAAACCTTGCCTGGAGCTAGCAGGTGTGGAAGGGGTCAGCAGCTTTCAGCATTATGTTAATTTTTACCTCCTTTCTTAAATTGGGAGAAAGGAAAACTATTGGTCAGTTTCCTTTAACATATCCATATATCCATTTAGCAACCTCATCTTAATTCTGGATGAGCTGTTAAAGGCTGGATTTTTGCCATTGTTTTAATGTGCAAAGACTTTTGATCATTTAAAAGCTGGAGCCTTTGACTCTGGTAGTTACATTCTTTACCCCACCCAGAAGCCTCGTTTTTCCACAAAAGCAGTACCCACCCCTGCCATGGGATTTGCAGGCACTGGTTTCCTCCTTTATCACACTCAAGCTCTGCAGACAAAGCGGGACAAGCGCTGTGTTGCTCTGCTCCCTCCCCCTGGAGTAGAATGAATTCAGTGACTAAAGGTTGCTAAGGTTGTCACCTGGTTACGGATGGCCCTGACATGGATGGGCACGGCAGCCTCGAGGGAGGAAGCGTCGTTCACTGGGAGAGCATTTGGCTTTCATGTGGAAGCGCCTGTGTTCAACAACTGGCTTCTCCAACTGAGAAAAGGATCCTGGGACATGCCGCTGAGATAAGACCTTGCTTGGGATGCTATTAGTTTTGGGTTGTGCTTACATACGTAGCTTGTGTGATTCCAGAACCACCTCTCAGTAGGAGGCAGTGGCTGTTATATTTCTCTCCCTTACCCTTTACACACTCTGACATTCCATTACTACTTAACTCAGGCTTTCTCAACCTGATGCTGGACTACAGGTCCCATCATCCACATCCAGCATGGCTTCTGGTTGCAGCCAGCAGGTGTTGTAATCCAACACCTGTGGAAAGTGCCAGGTTGGGAAAGGCTGGTGTAATTAGTTTCTACATCTTGTTTTGCTGTATCTCAGTGCCTGAAAATTACTCCTGGAAGCACACAATGCTGCCCGTCTGAGGGCTATGAAGCTCCTGCCACCGAAGCAGGCGGCTGGGCCAACAGAGCCTGGGATGAGGCAGCAGGCTGGATTTCTGAGATCGGGTGAGGCTGCAGGGACTTTAAGGAGCTCCGTGACTTCTGCTGTACTGCCTTTTCACTGTCCAGGCAACTGGCTTGGATGTCCTCCAAGAGGTTTGGAAGTCTGGCCTTCAGTGATTACATTCTGTTCACTGGAATTGGTTGTGATCATTTATTTCCTGTAGTCAGCTGTTACGCAAAACTGCTGTGTTTTGTTGAGGTGCTGGAGGAAGTCAGCATTGTTAAAGTTACTGGGAGTAACAAAAGCTTCTGAACTGTAGATTTCTGGTAATTAACAACAATAAAAAGAACCTACATTTCTGGGAAAAGTGGATAGAAATTTTGAATACAGTTGCTATATACTTATCTGGAAGGGTCTGACTACAGTCAGCATACAAAAAGTCAATGTAAAAGATGAACCTCTGGAATGAGGGAAAGAATTCTATATATATTCTATGTAAGACAACCCTATCCTCAGCTGGAAGCATTCTCATTTTATAGGAAAACTGGCACATAAGAAGCATTTTGCATATATTCAGCAGTTAGAACCATAGATAATGAAGCTAATCATAATAGTAATGATATAGCAGTATTATTTCAAAGTCCTGTAATTGTTGCAACAAGCTTGTAAGGTGGTTGAATACTGTTACCCTGCTTTCTTTTCCCTCTTCCTCTTCTTTCTCCTTCTCCTCAGATATTCAGAGGCTGACAGAGCATCTTGCATAAGGACACCTCCAGAGGAATTCTGCACGCATAAACTGAGAAGTAAGGTCCATTCAATTAAGTGGAAGTCATTTTGTCCCCACACTCCTCCTGCTCTGCATTTTTGAGAGACAGCAGCATCTCAGTCTGTGTGTGTGTGGGGGGGGGGAGACTTGGAGGGACTTCAGGATACTTTGTATCTTGACTTGGCTGATTCAGCCTCCTCCCCAACTTGTCCCCCCAAATGCCTTTGAATTATTTTGTAAGCATTGTGCAGATATTGGAAGAAAAGATGGTGCCTGCCCACGGAGACACAAGCAAGTGAACATAATATAAAAGGAAACAGGAAGAGGGCAGGAAGCACTAAAGCAGGGCCATGTAACTACCCAGCTCTGGTTCAGACCATGGGGGGGGGGGTGTCCCACAGAATGCCTTCTGCAAGTTCTTGCAGCCCAACCAGGATCACATGGAGCTGATGACCATGGCCTGGTGTCACTTCCTGGAAGAGGCACATGTGCAGGCCAGGGGTGCGATTGTGGAGCTAGGAAGGAGCATGATAGCAGTAGATGTGGTGGTTGTATGGCCTTCCGGTCTGCCCCCATGGAGGTACCTGTTCATAGCATCTGCATCTCTATGCAGTCCTAGCTAGATTGCCCACTCAGAAGGGCTGTGTGCTCCTGCAAGCCAGCTTGTGGGGGCTGCCATCTATTTGAACCAGCCTCCTAACACAGTGATCTTATACAGAGTTACGCTACTGGTCAGCCCTGCTCAGTATTGTCTGTACCAGGGGCAAGCAACTTGCATGGCTGCATGAGGTGTGGGTTTGGCTGGCCAGGACTCTGCAGGGTTTCAGCCAGGGGTCTTTTGCCGCCTTTCCTGCAGGTGCCTGGGACCGAAGCTTGCACCTTCTACATACAAAGCAGGTGCTCCGCCACAGCGCTACTGCCCTTTTTAAACTGAGCAATTCCTCAACTGGTCCCCTGTAACATCTGGCCATGTGGTGAGGGCTTCTGTGAAGCTGAGAAGAAGAGGGAAGGAGCATGAGGAGATTCAGAAAAATCTGCCTTTCCCAAACCTCTCCTGTTTGAAGGCAGGGGGCACTGGAAATTGTCTTATATTGTGCTGGGGTAGACAGTGCAGTGCTGAGGGAGAGAGAATTCAGTGTTTGCCAGATGTTTGCACTGTAGCCCCTCCCCCATTCCCTGACTATTGGACTTGTTGCTTAGGAATTGTACCCCAAGCATCTGGAAGGCACTGGCTTTCTTATCCCTAACAGAGCACCTAAGGAAAGGAGCACAAAAGCAACCAGGCACCATGCTCATAATCCTCTGTCTTTACCATCAGAGACATTCCGCCTGCTGCTTTGGCATCCTTTGTTGCTGTTATTACATGCTGTCAAATCACCTCTGACCCTATGAATGAAAGTCCTCCAAAATGTGCTGTCCTTAACAGCCCTGCACACTCAACTCAAGGCTGTGGCTTCCTTTATGGAATCGATCCATCTCATATTTGGTTTTCCTCCTCTTCTTCTGCCTTCAACTTTCCCTAGCACGATTGTACTCTCCAGTCCAGTGAGTGTTGCCTTCTCATAATGTGCCCAAAGTACCACAGCTTTGGTTTCATCATTTTTGCTTCCAGGGCAAATATTGACCTTTCTCTGTATAAATGGAGGCTAAGGGCTTCCAGATGTGCTACCATCTCAGACATCGTGTTCTGCAAATGAACATAATGTTCCAAGAGAGAAACATAAGCAATTTAGGTGCAACTTTAAGAGAAATGCTATGCACTATCATGAGGCACGTCTGTCAAAACTCTAAGGGGAATAGCTCAGAAACGGAGAACACAAAGACATTGTTACTGTGTGATGGCCGCAAATGAGGTGAATTGATTATTTTGTAGAAAAATAAATGCTGATGTTTATGGAAGATCTTTCTTTCCAGCAAATGAATATATGATTCATGGGTGTATTGAAAATATTGACAGTCGTAGATCATTGAAGAATTCAGACTCTTCACATATTCTATGCTTTGGTGTGATGCTGAAATATTACTGATGTCCTTGTGTGTTTGCTTTTTTTCTGTTGCAGGAAACATCTTTCCATCAATATTTTATGGGCCATGCTGTCCTAACCATCGCACTGTTGCATAAATCCTAAGTCAAAAATAAAAATTGGCTGTATCATTCCTGAGAATCTTTCTGATCAAACATGCAACTTGGGAAAATAAGAAGGGGAGCAACCAAAGGCAACTTGCAAGTCTTTTGTATATCCTTCAGGTTCTTGATAAATACCTGTAAATCTCAGCTTTTTTATTAAATCATGGGCTGTAATTTCAGATATATGGAACTTGAAAATAAGGTAGCAAGATAAGGTACTGGCACAGACCATTCTTCCTCTTCAAATCAGTTAGACTCAGCGCTTCAGTATTTCTGAGCTTAGCTCACAGTTTTCTAAAGCACTGGCTGAAAGGTTACCCTTAAAGTTAACAAGGTTAAGAAAACTGCAGGATGAGTGCAATTTATCCACCAGGAGTTGCTGACATTCACTAGTTGATAGGCCAGCATTTAACTAAGCATTAGCAAAGTCCTCCAACCCAGTTTTAACTCATATAATACTAGGTATGGTGAATGTTGCCCATCAGTCTAGCCAGATTAGGTTTTTATAACACGATTGCCCTGCCTGATTCATGGAATTTGTCAGGTTATTTAGATGTTGTTATTGTCCTCTATCTGTAACCCTCCTTTGGTTTTTCATTGTTTCTTCTGCCTTTTTTTTATGGCATACATCTGTTAGGGAAAATATTAGGGGAGAACTGTAGAGTAACTTAACTGGTAGTACTAGGAGTCTGTCTCATCTCAACCCAAGGCTGGGATGTATAGAAGCCAACACTATGAGTTAAGTAGGGATATGAGTATGAGGAGTGTGTAGGTCATTCTCCTTCTCTGAGTTCATTTTGAGATGTTGGTGACATCTTGGGAATGTGAGGGGGACAGAGAAACAATCTGACAAAGGGTGAAGTTAAAAGTCTAGATTTGGATTTGTTATTGTCAGGATGTCCTGGATTAGCAGCTCATGAGAATGTGTGCTCAGATCTACAGGGAGATGTCTATGTTACAAACCTCAGCAGTTTTATTGGTGAGAACATCCAGGAAACAAAGCTTCACAAACTTCGCTGTGGGGTAGAGGCACGCCCACCAGCTACAACTTTCTGAACATATACAGAGTATAGACTTCTAGTCATGTACACAGGAACAAGGCAGATGATGAGAGAATAATGGCCACCTAATGCTTTCATACACCAAAACAATGTGAGATCTGCAAAGGGGCATGGAACAACAGTACAGCAAATATTGATGATTGCAGGATATTGCCGTGACAATCAGGAAGCCACTGAATCATTACTGGTCTGGAGTATGAGTTTAAACATGCAAATGAGAGTGATTGCGATGTTGCTCAAAAAACTGGTCTGACAGCTTGCCACTGCTGGGGGAAGAATGGGATTAGCATGATACTGTGTATTGAAAGCCTGAGGCTGAAAGAAACTCTGGAATCGCTTTCAGATATGGGAGACTGAGGCAGATTCCACTTGCGACTGGGAGGAAGGGTTGGACTGAACAGTGTCTAGGCTTTTCTGGAAATGAGAGCTGGGCACTGTGCTTAAGACCAGACAGCATCCAAAGTATTTCCCCCTCTTTTCCTATATGATTTATTTGGATGTTTCCAACATTACATATACAGTACATGAGAGATAAGGTAAGCTGAGAGAGTGCAAGGTTGGGCAGCTTGTGGCCTTCCAGATATTCTGGCCTATAATTACCATGATTCCTCAGTAGAGGTTATACTGCTTGGAACGGATGGAGTTGTGGGCCACTGGATGAGATGTGAAGGACAGAGGGGCTGAAATTTGGTCTGACCCTGACCTCAAGAGACGCTGATTAGAGCAAGAGTCAAAGAAGGTGAAGCAAGCAGTGAAACAACAGGCACTAGAGTAGGACATGAAACAGAACATTCCTTGAAATTAGGTACTTGTCACAAGGAAGTTCGAAGGTACTACTTAGGCATTTCTAGTGTTGATCCTGTCCATATGCTTGAGCTAGCAGGACCACCAAAGTCCTCATCTGGCTTGTGAACATCAGGTACACTATGATAATTGGAGAAAGCTGACCTTGGAAAAGAACCTGACAGGAAAAGAATGGAATAGGCAGCACAAAAGTGCCCACGCAGGAAGAATGGATGGAGAGAAGAGGTTTCCTGTGATAAGGGTCATATTGGAAACTGTTTTAGTGGAATGAAGACCAGACTGGCCCAAGATAAGAAGCCATGGCAATAACATGATACACCCTTTCCCTAACTGATACCTTCCAGGTGCTGAAAACATCATTTCCCACCAGTCCCAGCCAGCATGGTCAGTGGCCAGGAATTCTGGGACTTGTAGGCAAAAGCATCTAGAGGGTACCAAGCTGGGGAAGGTGTAACATAGTTTGGTGTTTAAAGAGATAATGGGAGTTGGGATGGTGGCAGGAAAGAAAGGAAGGTGCAGGGAAGGGAGGAAAAGAGGGGAAAGGAGAGAAAGGAGGAAATTTGGATGTGTGGGGACGTGAAATAAAAGCCATAAGACAAACTGTATTTAAATGACATGGTACAGGAGAAAACATAAATGAAAATATAGGAAGGCATGTGATTAAAGAAGCAGAGCCATTGCCTTCTGTAAGAATGAATTAGATGTTCAAATGTGATGATGTTAGACACTTGCACATGCATGTAGCCACAGCATCCGTCATCTTTCTCCCTGCTTTTGCATTGCATACTGCCAGTGGACTGAACTCCTTTAATTTCTGCCTTATCGAGGCCAAGTTGCTGGCCTTGCAAATGGCACACGCTTGGCACTGCTGCCCCCACCGTGCCATTTTCAAGCAAAGACGTCAACACCCATTAACCAAGCAGGGTTGCGCGTCCAGCATTCTGCACAGCACACTTTCCCCTCATTTATCCCATGATGTGCAGGAAGGCAGGAGACGGGAGCAATCTCCATTCTTGTTAAGAGGAATTGTGTACCTCATTCTTTGTGCATTGTGCTGAGAATGAGGGGGTAAAGACGTGTCTGGACTCAGCAAAAGGCTTCTCCTATTCAGCCGGAAGAACGCGCTGCCTCTAGCTTGTGAGGCGAGAGAAGAATTAGAAACAATTGCTTAAAAAGAGAATCGTTTGGATTTCTCCCCAAATTTCTGCTGAGGCAAGGACAATTTGGAAGCCTTTTCCCAGCCTTGCTCCAACCTGGTGGCTAACCTTTGTGTTGTATGCAGTATTGCTATTCCCAGCACTTTTAGCAGTCTGTCAATTTTTCATCTCCCCCATGCTAGCTAATGGCTAAAGCAGCCCCAGTAACATAGTTACTTATTTCCCAATATAATTATTCCTGAGAACTACCACATTGGCTGCTTTTCTCCGGGGACAGACTCTGCACTGAGCTGCTTTGATAGAGCCCTCCTTTGCATTCTTCTACAGCTTCCCTTCAGGTGGCAAAATCAGGTGGCTGATCCTCACCGTGACACATTTTCAAGCTCAAGTGGCATCCCACCCCCTCCTCTGGCCTCTAAAATTAAGCAGGAGGTGGCAGACTGCGCTGACTTGTACACCAGTAAGGATGTTACTTTCTGCCTTGATTGAAGACCCAAGAGCATCTAAGCAAACAAAACCTCCCAGTGCCAGTGAGAGCAAAGACAATGGGGAATTAAGGTCCTGTTTACTTGAGCTGTTTTTGAGCAGTTAAGAGCAAAAGCGTGTCATTGCACAATAAAGGCAATCAGAGAGCCACTAATGCAAATTCCAGAGTGCATGCCGTTCACCCAAAAATATGTGAAGCGCTACACGTTATTCCTGCAAGCATCAGGGATTCAGAAGGAACAACCCAAGGAACAAACCTGGCCACACAGTTTGGTTGAATTCTTCACAATGGGACCGTGCCTCCTCCTCCCCTCCCCATCCCACGCTCTCTCTCACACACACAGACACACAGCTTAAACATGGCCATCCTGCCTAGGGTTGCTCAACTGAAATCAGGGCCAGCCCTAACTTTAGGCAAAGTCAGGCAGCTCCCTCAGGCAAGAGATTTTGATTGCAATGAAAAGGCAGCCAACAGTTATTCATTTTACGCCTTGTTCCTATACTGCTTCAAGCAGGGAGGGGAAGACTTGTAGGATTTTCCAAAATAATTTATTATGGGTTCCATTGCTAAGATTTGGGGGAGGTTCCATGTCCAGCAATGCTTCAGGCTGCAAAATGACTGGGACTGACCCTGATTGAAATCTGTGCTCTTCAGGGCCTGACACTGGGATAGGTTTCACATGGGGAAAACCAGTATCATAAATATGGGTGCCATTTCCAACTGGGGTAGGAAAGTGGCAATTTGGGGAGCTAAGATTCAGCAGAGACCGAGCCAGGAGAATAGATTAGGTAGACAAGAGGACCTGTGGTCTTATCAAATCAGGAAAAGATATAAGGAAAAGCTTCCTCACTGTCAGAGCAATACAACAGTGAAACAAGTTGCCTAGAGGGGTTATGGGCTCTCTCACACTAGGGAAATTCAAGATGAAACTGGACAGCCATCTGAGTGGGATGGTGTAACTTGGTGTCCTGCAACAGCAGGGGGTTGGACTCAATGGCCTTCATGGCCCCTTCCAACTCCTCTATTCTATGATTCAAAGCTGTATTCTTGCCCTCGTATTAGCGTGCATTTGTTTTTGGAGCTGTATACCTAATATGGAGAAGCACTAAATGGTTTGCAGTGGTGGCCACACATCATGTGCAACCAGCGGATTGATCCCTCTCCTCCATCTTTCTCAAACCTGCTTCTGCCCATGGGTTAAATGATGTTTATTTAGTAAATCACAAAGCACAACCATTAATTAGCAACATATTGACTCTGTTGCTGGTCCCTCTTGTATCAACAAGCAATGTGTACCCTAACTATATAATTGATCACACCTAAACACTGGGCTAGGATCAATCATTAGGTCCCTGGGGCTAAACTGAGGTGAGTTCCATGTCAGGGAGAAGGGCCAGCAGGTGGGCCGTAAACAAAAGTGCACGTAAATGACAAGTTGCACACTGTTTGCTTAACGATTGAAGGACATACTTAAGTGGTCTTGCACTCCTGGTCTCCTGCATGACAGCAGAATCCAGC